TCTCTGTTAAAAGTTGAAGTATTATTTCATAGGACATAACTTTCTGTATTCACTTTAAATATCTTTCATCACTCTGGTTAAATGACTTATCTTTTATAATGATCTGGGACCCCAGGTTTCATTAAGTGCTTTAAACCTTTTTAGATTATTGACTAACTTCTCTATGATCAAAGTCTACATTGTCATTTGACCTTGAGCTAACATTGGGATGTTCTAGAGAAGTCCATATTTGCTCAAGGGTTTTCTAGAAGAGAGACATTAAGGAAAATAGCCTAATTTAATATGACAGGAAGTCCTATCAAATATGACATAACTTTTTCAAGTTATATTTATTTGGATATTTTATCAATATTTGCTTTAAAATGGCAAAAATTCATAAAACATCTCAGATGTTTTTAGACATAATTCTGGACACTATATTAAAATGTATGCCAGGGGCTGGGATGTGGCTCAAGTGGTAGCGCGCTTGCCTGGCATGCGTGCAGCCTGGGTTCGATCCTCAGCACCACAAACAAAGATGTTGTGTCCGCCGATAACTAAAAAAATAAATATTAAAAAATCTCTCTCTCTCTCTCTCTCTCTCTCTCTCTCTCTCTCTCTCTCCCTCTCTCACTCTCTCTTTAAAAAAAATAAAATGTATGCCAATAAAATCACCTTGTTAATAACTGGTTATCGTAAATTCCCAACAGATTTTTAACCACGATGATTCTAAATGTTTATCATCAATAGTTATCAATTGGGTGGGGATGTGCCTCAAGTGGTAGCATGCTCACTTGGCATGCATGCGGCCCTGGGTTTGATCCTCAGCATCACATACATATAAAGATGTTGTGTTCACTGAAAAATAAAAAGTAAAAATTAAAAAATTCTCTCTCTTTCTCTCTATGTCTCTCTCTCTCTCTTTAAAAAAAAGATTTGCCATTTGTATTATTGCCCTGAACATAACTAAAATCAGATTAATTGATTAAGAAGAAAAAAACTACTAACAAGCTTACTTGAACAGAGGTCTCTCATCTATCTATCTGGCTACCTACCTATCTGTGTATCTATGTATTTATTTATTCATTTCTTTATTTATTGTTGCTAGGGATCAAACTCAGGGCCTCATGCATGCTAGGCAAATGCTCTGTATTTTCAAAATTGTAATTCAAACAGGGTGTGGTGGTGAACAATTTTTATCCCATCTGCTGTGGTGTGAAGTGATAAATGCAATAAATAAGTTTGTCAGTTATGGGTTCCAGATTAGTAAAAAAAAATATACAGATGATGGATATAAAATTTTGAAAATTGAGATAAGACAATTATAAAGCAAGAACTCTTATAGGCAGGCCTGAGACACCATTTTGCTGCCTCCTATGAAAAACTGTTATAAGAGCTGTTTCTGAGAAACTGAAATGACAGCTGTTTTCTTATTTTAAAAAAATTGCATTTCTGTACTTTGTACCCCACAGATTGTACCCTAATCCGGATGCACTGGTGGTCATGGAGAGTTACATTCTGGGTTTGAATGCTATTGTGTGTCTACATGACTTTGAAGTAGATTCTCATCCCAATGACCCCCACACAAATTCAGGATGTGACTGTCTAGCACCTGCTTGAACCCAGGACCATGGTCAACTGAACTGCAAAGCTAATGTGCTGGCTTGCTGACTGGAAAATTCTGATCCTGCCTAGAGCCCAGAGGCTCCACTTACTAATGTTTTAATTTCTATGATTGGCTAGCTAACATGAGGATAAGCAAGTCACTGAGTTGTGGATTTTGTGCCTATAATGTCTTTGGATGGATCAGGAAGCTGGTGTCCTCTCACAGAGCTTGAGACTCTGTGGTGGGTGACAGTCCCTAGTCAGGTAAGTAAAGTTCTCTTTTGATTTGAAATTCAGACCATAAAACCATTCCTTCTACTGGTTCCCTAGAAATTCTCACCTTATATGGCTCATCCAAGCATTCCATCTCTTTCTGTCTCTCCTTCCTCAATTTTAGAATTTCATTTTACTCAGACTCTTGACATTTTCCTTTGCTTCTGTTCTTTTCCCAGGCTAAAGGCCTTGGAAAGTGCCTGGGGCCAAGGTTATCTGGGAGATGTTCCCTGGGGAAGTCCCTGATTCTGAAGGAAGGCTCTCTAATTGGTGGCCTCCCTGAAGTCAAGGACACCTGCTGTCCAACACTGTGTCTTTCTCTCCAACATCCCAAGATGCCCACCGCTTCCACCCTCAGTGGCTTTCAGATTTTCCCAAGTCTGATGGGGCATGGTGGCCCATGCCTGTAATCACAGCAACTCAGGAGACTTGAGGAAGGGGGATGGCATGTTTGAGGCCAGCCTCAGCAACTTAGGGAGGACCTAAGCAATTTAGTGAGACTCTGTCTCCAAATAAAAGCAAAAAACAAAAAGGGCTGGACATGTGGCTCACTGGTAGAGAGCCAATGTGATTCATCCCCAGTACAAAGAGACAGAAAAAATCTAGCCCTATGTCTAGAAGACTGATTCTACCCTCCTGTGTGCTCTACCATCCTTAGTGGGCTCAGATTTGCTACAAGTTAACTTGACACTTGTGTGACTGTTGGAAACATGGTTTCCATTCTGTAATCTTTGTGGATGACACGACTGTCTTCCAAAAGCTGTTTTCTCTCTGAAATTTTCAAACTATTTTGGAAAATTATTTTTTTCAAATAATTTTGATATGGCAAAGATCCCTGTAGAAAGGTATTTTCCAGTAATGTTTTCCTTACATTAGGGATTAAGTACTTCAATGTCTCACAGTAGAAATAGGAGGGACGCATATGGACAAAATTGAGTCCATGGTGGGGAGTGCATGGACAAAGGCATCACTGACTATCACATCTCCCCGATTCTGCGCTCTTGCATGACCATCAGATTCAATGAACTAATCCAAGGAAAAAAATCCCAGCATGATTAAGTGGGTGGAGATTGGGGAAGGAATTGGGGAAGAAATCACATACTGATTTCTGATTGGATGCTGATCAATCAGATGGAGGTGGGAGCGTGGCCAGAGAGGTCCATAAAAGCTTCTGCAGAGCAGAAGAGTAGCACAAGAGTCTTGCAGCCTAAGGAGACACAACCTGGCCTGCTGAAGCTCAGAGCACCTGCACACATGGCCAGATCCTGTAAGTCCCTCACTGGCCTAAGGACCAGCGCCTTCCCTCCTCACCTGTGTGGATTCAGGAAAAATTTTGTTCCTGTCTTTTCTCATGAACAAACTTAGGACTTTGATTTTGCCTTTCAGTGTGGTTTCACTTTATGCTGAATATTAGGATTTCCCTTTTGGTTTACTTCACTTTTAATTTTCTTTTCTTTTCTTTCTTTCTTTCTTTTTTCTTTTTTTTCTTTTGGTACCCGGTATTGAACTCAGGAGCACTCTACCACTCAGCCACATCCCCAGCCCTGTTTTGTATTTTATTTAGAGACAGGGTCTCACTGAGTTGCTTAGCACCTGCTCTTGCTGAGGCTGGCTTTGATCTGTTGATAATCCTGTGTCAGTATCCAGAGCCCCGGGGATTATAGGTGTAGGCTCACATACCCAACTTTTATTTATTAGTTTAATTTTTGTTTTTTAAGGATTATATGGACAATATAATTTATTTATTTATCTATTTATTTATTTGGTGGTATGGTGATTGAACCCAGGGCCTTGGACATGTGAGGCAAACACTCTAATAACAGAGGTATATCCCCAGGTCAACATGTATTAATTTTTATGTGCTGCTGAGAATCAAGCCCAGTTCAAGCCCAGCCACTTTCTTCACCAAGGAGATTGGATTCCTATTTCATTCTAATTGATTGCAATTCTATTTTCTGATGATGGAAATATTTATATTGTGTGCCTCTAAATTATACTCCTTTTCTGGGTGTGGTGGCACACACCAATAATCCCACCTACTCAAAAGGTTGAGGGGGCAGGAGGACTAGAGTTCAAAGCCAGCCTCAGTACACAAAATGCTCCACAAATAAATAAGACCCTGTCTCCATCTCAAATACAAAATAGGGTTAGGGAACTGGCTCAGTGGTTGAGTGTGCTAAATTCAGTCGCCAATATCAGCCCCTAAAAGAGTATACTGTATGGACTATGTGGTTTTGTATTTTTATAATTTGTTTAAATAAATTAAACCAAAAGCTACAAATGACCCCATGGAACAGTTCACAGACTCTTTTCTGATCTGTTTTTTTCTCTTCAACATTCCCCTAAGATGGCAGAATCTCACATGTGTAACAGATATCCATGAGACTCTGTTGTAATTTCCAAGTGTTTTATAATATGGCCACATGCTTTATAAATGCTCATTTAACAAAAAATAAAACTAATGTCACCCATATGAGAACAAGTCCATTTCCAGCCATATAGTTGTTGAATCTAGAAGCCTACTGTTTAGGTCACATGACACTCCAGTTCCCCTTTTAAAAGGACAAAATAATAATCCACAGCTTTCCCCCATAAGGGTGAGTTGTGCTTATAGATTTCTCAGTACCCCCTTCCCAGAGGCTGGCAATGGATGGGATAGTGGCCTTATCCCTGGACCATTTTCCAGGATCCTTCTTCTTTCAGACTCCCCAGGATGAGCATCCAGTCCCCACCCACGCTGCTGGATCTGGCAGGGCGCAGCCTACTGAGCGAGAAGTCCAGGGCTGACCTGGATCTGGAGGACCTGCCCATAGAGCTCTTCCCACCACTCTTTGTGGAGGCCTTCAGCAGGGGACACACTGAGGTCCTGAAGAAAATAGTGCAGGCCTGGCCCTTTACCAACCTGCCCTTGGGGGCCCTGATGAGGAAGCCACATCTTGAGATAATCTGAGTGGCCCTGGATGGGCTGGAAATGTTGCTTGCCCAGAAGGATAGCCCCAGGTGAGGGGGACCTAAGTGGCCTGGAAGGGAGCACCCTCGGGGCCAGGGCAGGGATGGGTATAGACAGGGAGAGTGGGTGCTGAATTGTGCACCACAGGCTTCCTGTGCTGCCAGCAAGGAGGGGTGGAGAGGCCTTGGCCATGATGAGCCCCAACTGGGAAAGGCTTCCAGATGTGGAGGTGCTTGTGGCAGCTGTGGTGACCCATGAAGGAGGCTGTAACTGCCCCTGCCTCAGTCTGTACAAGTGGGGGCACCAGACTGGATTGGAGGGAAGTGGATGGAGAAAAGGGAGACAGAAGGAAGAGGTGGAGCAGGGGGCAGCAGCTGAGAGGTGAAGGAAGGGGCCTCAGGGCTGAGACTCTGCTGTTGTCCCTGCAGGAGGTGGAAACTGCAGATGCTGGATTTGCGGAATGTTCCCCAGAACTTCTGGAGGATGTGGTCTGGAGCCCTGGTTGATGCCTGCTCACCAGAGGACATTAAGAAGAATCGAACATTGAAACTTGGTCCAGCAAAGGCAACTAAGCCACCCTTCAAGGTAGTCATAGACTTGAGCCTCAGAAAAAGACCCCTGGATAAATTCATGACCCACTTGTTCCTGTGGGTCAGATAGAGAAGGGACAGGCTGCACCTGTGTTGCAATAGGCTGAAGATCTTTGGGAAACCCACCCGTCACACCAGGAAGGCCCTGAGACTGCTGCAGCTGAACTCTGTCCAGAAGGTGGAATTGCACTGCGCCTGGGCACCCTCCTCCTTGGCTGTTTGTGCTCCTTTCTTGGGCCACATGAGGAACCTGAGGAAGCTGCTTGTCTCCCAGATCTATGTGCCTGCCTACACCTCCCAAGAGGAGCAGGAGCAGCTGCTTGCCCAGCTCACTTCACAGTTCCTCAGGATGGCCTGCCTGCAGAAGTTCTTTGCCAATGCTGTGTTGCTCCTAGAGGGCCACCTGGAACAGGTGCTGAGGTGAGTAAGAAGGGAAGGTGAGCACCCTCTGCAGAGCAGTTACAGGAAATTTGCACCTATGTGCCACTGACACGCTCATGGTTAATAAGACAAGGGAAGGCAAATAACACATCCTTTTGGTTCCTATTAAATCCTGAAGCTAGATTGCATAACATGTGTTGGAGCAGACTCCTAAATGAGGGTCCATAGTTTGGCAAGTGCCACCATGCTGGAAATCCAGGTGGGAGGCACAGGAGCTAGGAATGGGATTGATGTTCCCTCCGTGGGATGCCTGTCCAGCGACGGTGGTGGAAAGCTGGTAGAGAATAGGGCTTGGAAGGAGGGAAGCACTCACACTTACACCCATCAACAGGGAAGCTCTGTGCTCCTCAGCTGGAGCCTTTATACCCACCTGGGGAAGGCAGGTCTGAACTCCACGTAGTGATCCTGGGTGTAAGGGTCAGGAGCAGGGGTGGAAATCTTGCTGAGGATATAGGGTGTGAGCCTCTCAGAGGGTTAACCCCAGTGGATTTTGTTACATCCTGCCCAAATTTGTCCTTCATACATGACTCCCCATGACCTCCTGTTGCCAGACCTGTGACTTTCTGCTGGGCAGCGAGGAGGGGACACAGAGATGTGGACTCATCTGTTCACAGGAGATGCGATGAAAGGCTCACCCTGACATGGGGTGATGTGAATGACCAGATTCTGCAAAAGGCAGCATGCTAAGTGTGGACCATTGTCAGATCACCAGGGCGACTTTGGGGTTGGGCCAATTTGTCTTCACCCTCCTTGACATTGCTCCTCAGAACTAACTGTCTGGTTTTTCCTTAGGCACCTGAAGACTCCCTGGAGACCCTCTCAATAACCAACTGTCCGCTGTCAGATTCTGACTGGAATTATCTTTCCTGATATCCAAACGCCGGACAGCTCAGACACCTGGAACTGAGGAGCATCAAACTGACCAATTTCAGTCTGGAGCCCCTCCAAATCCTGCTGGACAGCACTGCAACCACCCTGAACAGCCTGGACCTGGAAGCTTGTGGGATCACTGACTCCCAGCTCCAGGCCCTCCTGCCTGCCCTGAGCCACTGCTCCCAGCTTGTGATCTTGAGCTTTCATGGGAACCACCTCTCTATGTCAACCCTGAGGGACCTGCTGTGCCACACTGCCAGGCTGAGCCAGTTGAGCATAGAGCTGTACCCTGCCCCTCTGGAGAGCTCTGATGCCCGGGGTACCATCCACCCAGGTAGATGTTCCCAACTCTGTGCTGAGCTGACAGCAATAGTGAGGGACTTTAGGCAGCCAAACATCCTTGTGTTCTGTACTGTCCCCTGTCATCATTGTGGCTCCAAGTTCATGCATAACCAGGGCCTCATTCACTGCTCCTGTCCAACAGCTGCCTAGTTGGGTGTGTTTCAAAAGCATACTTCTAGGCAATTGGAGGTATAACCAGGATGTAAGGTCACTTTAGATGGAACACAGAGAACACCATTTCAGACATTGCCTGAAGTGTGGATGGGGAAAGGAAAGTACAGCAGCGGGCTCCATTGGAGGGAAGCCCCAGAGGATAGGGCCTTCAGGACATGTGTCTTTATAGAGACATACATAGGGACATGGATTTCTAAAGTGGGATTCAGGCTTGATGGGCACAGGCAGAAGCTATTGTGTTTCATGGCTGGTCCATAAATAGTCAGAAATGAACAGAATCTCAAGGTTAGTTTTCTGACATCCTCTTCACTGGATTTACCTGGCTTTCCAATGAAACCTTGGGATTCTCAAGCTGCTGATGGAGAAAGAAGGCACAGGGTACTTGGTGAACAATGAGGTTCAGCCCCAGGAAGTCAAGGTATCAAACTGAAATCTGGTCATGATGTGTGGCTACTCTGTGGCTTAACACATGCAGGTTCACACAGGTTGATTGGAACATTCTACATAGACATTGAACATGAGCCATTGCAAGAAAACCTCTTCTCAGTGGACCTCAGTGCCACCCAGACATTCAATGCTGGCCCTTCCTCATGGGTATCCATGTAGACCCAGAAACATCAGGTTCTGGTCTCTGGGTGTGCTGGGCAAGGGCATGTGTGCATAAGACAGGCCCCATTGTCCCACTCCCAGTGCCTGCAGGAGGTGTCCATGCTGCACATTGATCAGAGCCTCTGGGCCTCACCCAACCTTGCCTGTCATCCACCTAGGTAGTCTGTCCTCAGTTCAACTAGTGGTGCCCCTTGAAGGTATCCAAATTCCCTTTCAGCCAAATAGTAGAATCATATAGGTAGATAACACTTGCAAATATTTCAAAATGAAACTGAATAAATTACAAGCTCTGTTGGGGCGGGGGTTGCACATAACTGTCAGATCTTCCCCTAACACTTCCCTCTGCTGAGGACTGGGCTGATGGATTTGTGCAGCGACCTTAGCAATAGTTTTGCAATCAAGGATGAGAACGAGGTCCACCCAGTCTTCATTTGAGGTATTCTAAAGGTACCTGTGGACGTGTTTTAATTATGGCTTGAATAATTCTCCACACAGAGTGAACTGGAACCCACTTTGATGTGTAAGCAGACTGCAGCTCACTCTTGGAACTGGTAGCAGGGTCTGGGCCAAGCAGAGCTGGCCTCTCTGTCACCCACAGAGTGATCTTTGTTCCTTGCTCCCTCTTAGAGTCTGTTTCTGTGGGTTCGTGTTTTCTTCTGGGATAAAGACTTAGAGCACTTCTGTTTCTCGGGCTCTAAGTATAGCTTGCACATGTGGGGCAGGTGGAAAGTTCTGAACGGCATTCATTTTGTTGGATTCTAGGATCAAATAAAGTCAAGGAAGATCTGCATAATGAGATCTGTCATCATGTGTTCTTTTAAGAATTATCATGACTAAAAAGGGACTTGAAGATATTCTGGTGCCTCCAGACCACTTGAACACTGGAAGGGTTGTGAGGGCACTTTGTTTTCTCAGATGCCTGGGGATAAAGCACTCACCTCTCTTTGAGTTCCTCATCTTTTGACTCTAGGTTGATTTGTGCTTTGAGAGAGCACACAACTGTAGGATGTCATAACAAACAGGACCTGGTTTGTAAGTTTGGCCAGGTCAGGAAGTGGGGACTGGGCTTCACTCCTTGGCCTCTGAAAGATGCAGAGTCCTGTGTGCACCTGTATCTAAAGACTCTACAGCCCCTTCTGGAACACTGTCCAATTTTACCTCCACAATCTAGAAACCAAGCACCCATGCTATTCTAGAGAAATGAGTGAACTTCATCAAAGCTAACTCAGGGAGCTGGGGACATTTCTCAGTGGTGGAGCACTTGCTAGCATGTGAAAAGGCCTGGTTCCATCCAAGGCATCACAGAAATAAGTAAACAAATAAATAAATCCAAAATTTGTGTGACCACATTGGGAAGGTTTAATTGGAATAGAGCTGTCTATCTGTTAGAAATATTCAAAAAGAAAGAACCAGAATCCATATGAAAACAATGGAAAGCATTCTTTAATTGGTCTGGACATGTGGGTCAAGTTGATGTCCTGAAAGATTTTCTTCCAAAAACAACTGGAAAAGCTGGCTTGGTGGTGCTCAGCTGTAGTTCCAGCAGCTCGGGTGGTGAGGCTGGAGGATGGTGAGTTCAAAGCAAGTCTAATTAATTTAGTTAGGTTGTAAGCAAGTTTGTGAGACCCTGTTTCAAAATCCTACCTGGGGATGGGGCTCATGGTGTTCACCCTTGTGTTCACTGCCTGGTCCCCAAAACAATAACAAGCAAGTATGAAAAGCAGGTTGCAGTGGCTCGTGCCTGGGATCCCAGCTTCTCGAGAAGCTTTAGCATTTTATTCTTTCTCCCAATTTTACTAACTGGGACATGACCCATCCTTATTTTTTCCAGTCACTTGAGATTCAATATTGGGCCATTATTCGAGATCTATTTTCCTAATGAAGGTATTTCTTGTTGAGGACATCCGAGTTAGAATTGCTTTTGTTGTATCCACAGGTTTGAATATCTTGTGTGGCCCTTTTCATTGGTCTGCAGGCATTTTACACTTTCATTTTAATTTTTATTTATTTTTCTTATTTCTCCCATACATGACAATGTTTTGATTTCTTCAATTACCCATTGGTTGTTGGGGAACACGCTGAAGAATTCCCATGCATTGTAACTGTCCAGGTGTTCCCCCTGCTATGGATTCCATTCTTATTAAATTTATGGAGATTTATTTTGAGAATAAATGGAGAACGTGTGCTGTTGAGAAGGATGTTTGTTCTGCAGTGGTTAGGTGGGATGGTCTGTGTTTACTGTGTGCAGAGATGATCTGTCCAGTGCTGAAAATGGGAGTTGAAGCCCCCACTGTTCTTACTGTGTTGTGGTCGACTTTTTCTTTTACATTCCAGTATATCTTTTTGCACGTGTGGGTGCTCATGTGTCGGCACAAGTATGTGTACAATTTCTGTCTCATGTTGCTGAATTGACCCCTTTATCATTGTGTGATCACCTTGTTTCTTTTTATTGTGTTTTAATCTGTAGTCTATTTTATCTGACAGGAGTCTAGCCATTCCTGCTCTAGGTTGGTTTTCTTCGTGTGGAATATCTTCTCCATCCCTTCACTGTCACTCTGTGTGTGTCCTGAGGTGAAGTGACTTTCTTGTAGACAGCAGGTGACTGAGTCCATTAAAAAAGAAAATCCATTCAGTCACTTTACATCTTATAATTGGGGAGTTTAATCCCTTTAAATTAAAGGTTTTTGATTGAAAGATAGAGAATTATTTCTTACTGGTCTTATTTGTTTTTAGTTTTCTTTTCTGATTTCTCTTTTCATCTTTTTCTCTGTTTTCCTCTCTTACTCTATAGTCTGTTTTTTTTGGGTTGGTGTTTTCTTCTGGGATAAGTTTGGATTTCTTTCTTTGTCATTTGTGAATATGCTGTCATTTTTGTTTTTTTCTTTGGGCTTCCTCTGGGAATTAGAAAATTTTTACAGTTACCAAAGAGTGTTTTAAGCTGAACAGAACAGAACCTCCCTCTGCTCTGATACAAGTACTCTGGATTCCGTCTTTTTCCTTGTAACTTCTGCTTTGGTTGTCTTAGTTTTCTTCTCCTGGTTTTGTGCATTCCTTAGCCTCTTACTGTGGCCATGCTTAACAATCACCATTTTGTTTTTAACTTTCCTATTAGTTATTTGAACGTTTAAATATCCCTGTTATATAAGCAAGGAACACTGCTGTATTCCTGTAATCCCTCAGGAAACTGAGGCAGGAAGATTGCAAATTGAAAGCTATCCTCAGCAACTTAGCAGGGGCCTAAACAACTTAGTGAGACCTTGTCTCAAAATAAAATATAAAAAGAGCTGACTTCCCATTAGATCCAACCCTTTCAAGAGCCTGTACTCTCACTTGTGGCCTGCACTGGATGATATGCTGTGTTCCCTTCCTGCAGAAAGCTGACTGTGAGATACACCAAGAAACCAGACAGCACCAAAAAAATTTTGAAATGCAAAGGCAGGCCAGTTCTGAGATCTTAAGAGTGCTGCTTCCACACTGGAGGGAGAGAGTGAGTGTGTGTTTTTCTTTTTCTATGGGGGATACCCAAAGGTTTTTCCATAAAATATGATTCACCAAATAAAGCAATGGGTGGGCTGTCCCAGTCCGACAGGTAACACCCAACCCCAGAGCTACAGAGCAGTCTCTACATCTCCATCATGTTCCCCTTCTCTGAACTCTCAGGAACTCTGGTGAGGGAGGCCAGCAGGACTCTTCAGGGGTAAGAGAAAAAGTTAGGGATGGTGTATACACACATATATAAAGGTAATATGTGTTAGTTTTCATTTGTAGCTGAGGTGTAGTTTAGTTGGCCTCTGAATGAAAGCCCTTCCTGTGTCAAGTAATTCCCCACCCAACATGTGGGTCTCCAAGTAAGGCAGGGTCCACCATCAGTTGATAGGTATGAAAATGTCAAATGTATTTTTCTGCCTCCTGATGTGGTTTGGGGTTAATGCCTAAGGTGTGACCTGTGCCCACAATGTGCTGTCACTTGGCAGCAGGTCCTAATCAGGATGTCTCTGGGGGCTCCAAGCTGTGGTCCAGGCTAGCTGTAAGGATGACCTTTAACATAAAAATGGCCTAAACCTATGTATTTCCAGTTGAAAATTAACCTGAAAGTCTACCACACACAGCCTCCATAGCCCTCTAGTATGAATCAGGCAAGCCTGATAAAGACAAGTCTCTGTCTACAACCCAGTGGAAACTCAGAGTGAAGTCATGGTCATTTGCCTT